TCTTGGAGGCTGCCCCTATTTTGGGGCTCAGCTGGGGACGTCTCTGAAGAGCTGGAGGCGTCCAGGCAACTGGAGTTGGCTTGGAGGGGTTTCCTGTCCCTCTGCTCCCCCTGAGAGGCTGTCAGGTCACACGTGGGCCCCCTGCCTGCTCTGGGCCTGCGTGGAGGAGGTATCCTTGCCACTCCTGCCCCCAGTCACCCAGACTCTGGGTCTGGAATGTGGCTCCGAAGAGGGTCCTTCTGACTCACTTCCTCCTTCCCAGTGGCCTGGTCAGCATTCTGTTCCATGCATCTCCATATTCCCCCTCTTTTAAACCAATTTTAGAAAAATTGAGAACACTATGTAAAGTTTATTTTTCATCCTTTCTTTATTTGGGGGTGTTCCTTTTTTTGTGGCCATGAAGCACAGCATAGGAGATCTTAGTTCCCCAACTAGGGGTTGAACCCATGTCCCCTGCAGTGGAAGCACAGGACCCTAACCACTGGACCACCAGGGAATTACCTGTCTTTGATCAACAACTTTCACTTTGAGAGTCTCAGTAGATTTCAGCTTGTGGCGTGGTCGAACCCACTCAGGTTTCTCCAGTCGGTCCCTGATTGTCCTCCACAGCGGGCACCTGCTGTTAGCCCTTTGAGACAGGACTCTGAGCAGCACATCCCCCTGTGATTTATTGCAAAATGCAGTCAGCCTGTGGCAGGAAACGGGCGCCCAGTGTGGAAAAGAAATGGGCTTTCATGCAGTGCTGGAGGGCCTCCAGACCCCAAGAGGGGTGAGCCAGAGGCCCCCTGAAGGCCCCGGGGCACCAGTGAATAGCATTCAGCTAGCCAACCTTTACCCAGTTAGGCAGTCAGGGAGATAACGGTTCCAGTCTTTCTGATTAAGGCTTCCAGATAGAAACCACAGCCCCCTTTGGACTCACACCTGCCCTTTCAGAATCCAGAGCACTTCTGTGCTGAGGGCAAATTCCCCAGCGTCTTCAGTGTCCTTGCTCTGGAGATGACCTCTACCCCCTGACCCAAGTCATCTTGAGTTGCTTTCTCAATCTGTTGGCTAACAGCACAGGGAACCACTGTGTGTTCACAAAGCACCTGCCAGTGCCCCCACAATCATTTACTAATAGTATTGATCGTTGGCAGAGCCTGCAGGCTAACGTGCTGTGATTTACCTTGCCTGGCAGGCAGGCCCCCAAGGAGCCAACGCTCCTGCTCCCTACTCCCTTGAGAGCAGGCTGGCCTCCTGGCGGTTTCTGACGACAGAACGCTGTGGAGGTGCTGGAGGTCACGTTGGTGGGTAGGCTGCACAGACTGACGTCCAGGTGACTTCATCGCTGACTGACGTGGTGAGCCTTGTCCATGTGTTGGACAGGTCCATGTGGCAAGTAACAGCCAGCGGGCAGCAAAGCCCACCAACCATGTGAGGGGTCCTAGCCGTGGGTCCTTTCCCAGTCCAGCCTTCAAATAAAGCCCAGCCTGGGCTGGCACCTGGGTTGCAGCCTCTTGAGGAACCCTCAGCAGAGGACCCAGGTAGGCCAATCAAGACTCCTGGCCCACAACTGTGAGATGACAACACCTGTTGATTTAAGGCACTGGGTCTGTGGTAGCAGACTCACACTGATGAAGACCCACAGCAACCCCCACCCCTCCCACTGGTTCACTGAGCAACTCAACTCTCACTTCCCCTCTTTGAGCACCCCGTCCCTCTGCCATGCACTCAGCCCCTTTTCTTCCAGGAGTGTGACTGGGGCGGGGGGAGGGTGCAAGCTAGTGCTGAGTGCTACAAGGAGCACGGGCCTCCCAGTAGGTCTGCAGAACCAGGGCTCCCTGTTTCTGGCTTTGTCTTCTTGCCTGCTTTTTGGGGGGCTCAGTGGTAAAGAATCTGCCTGCGATGCCGGAGAAAAGACATGGGTTCGATCCCTGGGTTGGGAAGATCCCCTGGAGGAGGAAATGACAACCCACTCCAGTTTTCTTGCCTGGGGAATCCCATGGACAGAGGAGCCTGGTGGACTAGTCCATAGTATTGAAAAGAGCTGGACACAACTGAAGAGGCTTAGCACACACCCATGCTGCTTCTGAGCAGGGCGGGGTGGGGGCGGGGAGGGGATGGGGAGTATAAACCATGGGAGTCATGAGTCCCATCCCTCCAGCTGGTGGCCTCAGAATGGACCTGCCCAGCGGTTGGCTCATGTGTGTGAAGCTTGTTGCAAGGAAGCCATTGAAAGCCCGTGTTTATCTCAGAGACAAGCTTGTGCAGAGGATGGCAAGTGAGGGAGGCTAGGGTTCTGCTGCTGGCTGCACCCTGAACTGCAGAGATCTCTTTCACTGCCTACCGTACCATGATGGCGATGGCTGCTCCCACCAGAGATGCTAGGAGAGGGGGCGGGAACTTCTAGCGCCCCTTGGAAACGAATTAAATTAGAGCAACTCAGAATCCACGAGAACTCAGGCCAGCAGAGTGGTCTCCGGGCAGGTCAAATTCTCCAAGTAGATGTCGTGACACCAGCTGCAGAGAGAGATGGTGGCAGGCACAGGGGTCATGATCGTGCTTCTAGAGCCACACTGGGAGAGGGTCTGGGAGGGCTCCGATTTGGGGCCTTAGACAGAGACCCAAGCTTTATTTGATTGAAGTCATGAAAGTCAGAAAAGGTCAGTGTTGTCGCCCCTTAGGTTCCAGTTGATCTGATGGTTTAGCCCTCAAGGGGGGTTTAAATTTGGCCAAACAGCTCAAGAGGGAGCTTCAGGGGATTTTCCTGGTGGTCCAGTGGTTAGGGTCCTGCACTTCCACTGCAAGGGGCCCAGGTTCAATCACTGGTCAGAGAACTAAGATCCTGTGTGTTGTAAGGTGCCCCCCCGCAAAAGGTAAAAATGTGAATAAAAAAGTGCTTCAGGCTAATCTTTACCATTACTACCAGAACTGAGGTGTCTTTACGACTGATCTTTGCCATTGTTGCTTCTCTTGCTTGATAAACAGTCCTTCATCTCTGCATTCTTTTGTTTCCTAAGTGAAAGTGTTAGTCACTCAGTCATGTCCAACTCTTTGCCACCCCATGGACTGTAGCCCACTATATTCCTCTGTCCATGAAATTCTCTAGTCAAGAATACTGGAGTGGGTAGCCTTTCCCTTCTCTAGGGGGTCTTCTGGACCCAGGGATCAAACCCAGGTCTCTCCCTTTTCGGGCGGATTCTTTACTGTCTGAGCCAACAAGGAAGCCCTTTATTTCTTTAAGCTTAATTATTGAGACCTGTTCTGGGATGAGCATCATGGCCAGGCTTAGATCCTGAAACGACTAAGACCAGAAATGGCTTCTCTCATGTCAAGAAAGCAGCGCCTGGTTCTGTTTCGTCAGCCCCCCTACCCTATCTGTTTCTGTTGCCTCCCTCGGGCTGCGGTGGGCGCATCACTGGGGTGATTTCCAGCCCTGGGCTGAGCTTTCTCACTGTTCCCTGAATCTGGCCCATGGCTTCCATCTTTCGGGGGAGGGTTGACAGCTGGCCCTGCAGAGAAGTTCTCCAAAGGTCAGGAAGCCTCCTGGCACTACCAAAGGCCAGCAGAGAAGGGTCAGGAGGGGCTGGACCTAGGGGAAGACAGGGAAAAGGTGGGGTCCTTGGGGATCCCCTTGAGGGGAGATGATTTCAAGGCCACCCCAGGACAAGGACTTGGCACAGGGGGATCCAGCAATGTCCTGTGGTTGCCCGCCCCGTCCATGTACCTTCCTGCCCACCTGTTGGGCAGGGAGTTGAGGCAATGTGGACCCCCCAGGGTGGTGGGGTGGCAGGGTTCAGACCCTGGTGTGGACCAGGGGGGCACGGACAGAACTGTGGGTTGTGGCTGGGCTGCTCACCTGGGGGCTCCTGGGTGAGTGACTTCTTTTTCTCCTTTCTTTTTTTTACACCATGTGTCTTGTGGGATCTTAGTTCACCAGCCAGGGACTGAACTTGGGGCCACAGCAATGAGAGTGCAGAGTCCTAACCACTGGACTGCCAGGGAATTCCCAGTGACTTGTGTTTCAATCCCGTCCTTGTCACCCATTGGAGAGAGCAGGGGTACCACTGTAGGGTCAAGGGTGGCTAGACACAGGACGTCTGACATGGGCAGAGGAGTGGATGGTTCCTTATTAGTCATGTGGACTCACAGCTCTGGGAAGAAGGATGCCGCAGGCCTCTGGGGCACTTGGGGTGCACTTGGGCAGGGTGAACCCGGGGCTGTGGGGGGCAGGCTTTCGTGATGAGAGGACTAGGTGGGAGGGTGTTGCTGACTTGCTTGAATAATTCTGAGGGCTGGCGGGGCAGTGACAGCAGGAGCCCATTTGATCCTTGAGAAGGCGAGTGTTGGGCCAGTGGACCACATCAGGGGTGACTGGGGCCCTCCCGGTTTTCTCAGCGCATGAGATTGGGCCTTTCTTTGGCCACACAGCATGTGGGGTCTTAGTTTCCTGACCAGGGATGGAACCCTCGCTCCCTCAACCATAGAAGCATGGAGTCTTAACCCCTGGACCACCAGGGAAGTCCCAGATTGGGCCTTAACTGAAGCCACCCACCAGCATCTCCATTAACCACAAGCCATTTGCAAAATGAGTCAGCTAGGGCCTAGGTTCACATGGCCCCTGACCTGGCTCTTGGCAGGCAGGGTACCTCTGTGTGTGCCAGCTTTGTCCTTAGAGACAGTGGTGCCCAGGGTGGTGGCAAGGGATGGAGGAAGGGGTGTGTCGGGGCCCGGCACCCTCTGGGCACCCCCTCACTAAGCGGGTGGTGTTAGATTGGGGGGCTTGGCCCAGGCGTCACCAGCCCACGCTGGGTCCTGCCCGCCTCTCGGGGGTCAGAGGGCTGTCCGTCCATGCCACCTGCCCTGGCCCAGTGGCCACATGCCCACAGCTGCCGTGCTCCTGACCATACTCGGGCAAGAGGCAGCGGCCGCTATTAATAACAAGCGCGGCTGCCCAGGGCACAGGGTGGCCTATAAAGCCAGTCCCGCCAGCGTCAGGAGGCTCCTTCAGCCCCCGAGAACTTTAGCCCCCCCGTTGTACAGAGAGAAAAAGAAAAGTAAGTACTGAAACCATCCCCCTGTCCCTCTGCCCAGCCCCACTCGGTGGCCCGAAAAGTGAGACACAGAACAATGGTGAAAGACATACCCCACGCAAAGGATGTGTGAACACAGCCTCGCCTCGGGGGCACTTCACCGGCCCAGGATGGAAGAGGGGGCAAGGGAGGGGGAGGGGAGGAGGAGGAGGAGGAGGGGGCTTGGCCTTCTCCTCCTGGACTCTCCTTGTCCTGAGGGGACAGAGCCGGGGGCCCCTCCCTGGCCAGTTGACCCCAGGAGGCCTGCATCCTGCAGTTATGGCTGGGGTGCTGTCTCCACTCAGGGAGCCCACGGCTTCCCCCCTACCCACCCCCACCCCTAACTCCCCAGTGTCCTCCACCTCACCCCCTGCACGTGTGTGTTAGTTGTTCAGTCATGTCTGACTATTTGCAACCCCATGGACTGTAGCCCGCCAGGCCCCTCTGTCCATGGGATTCTCCAGGCAAGAATACTGGAATAGAGAGCCATTCCCTTCTCCAGGGTATCTTCCCGACCCAGGAATCAAACCCGGGTCTCCTGCGTTGCAGGCAGATCCTTTACCATCCAAGCCACTAGGGAAGTGGGTGGCTGAACCCTGCTCCCCGGGGTTTTGTATTTTGAGAGTCCCCAGGTGGGAGGACTTACAGGTGGGCCCTGTTTGTATGATGGCAAGTGGCCTCTGCACCCTCCGCTGCCCCCTCCCCTCCCTGGCTTTTCGAAGGCTGAGAGAAGCTTAAACCGGACAGGGTGGCCATGCGGGCATCTGGGTGGACTTGGGGGGCACTCCTGGGCGACTGTGGAAGGCCTGTGGCTGCCTGTCTCTCCCAGTCAGCCTGCTCCTCGCTTAGGCACTGGCTGTCCCCCAACCCCGGGGTGTGCCCCAAGGCCGCCCCCTCAGCGGCCTGGCAGACAGGATGCCTGAGGTAGGGGCCACCTTCAGAGGCAACCACTCTGACCCTGATGGGACTCGGGTGGGGCGGGCAGAGTTATTGCTGATTAAGAGGGCCGGCTGAGTGCTACTTGATGTGAGTGGCAAGTGCTTGGGGTGGGGGCGTCCTGAAATAGAACGAGGAAGGTGGGGGGCAGGGAGCGGGCTCTGCAGCCTCGCGCCCACATCCTGGGCCTCTGCTGCTGTCTTCCTCCTCCCAGGGCTGTTAGGACATTCAGGAAGGGTCCCCCAGGCAGAGCTCTGGTGGGGTGACCGGCCAGAGGCTTGCCTGAGGACGCTCTGCATGGAAGGTCACCCACCCATCTGTATGTCTGCGGTGGGCTGGGGTGGGATAGGGTATCCCCAGAGGGTATAGGGATAGGGTATCACCCTTCCTAATCAGGGTGGCCTCAGAGAAGCCAGATTCCAGTGAGGGGCCCCTGGAATCCCTCCCATCCCCCTCAACCCCCAGCAATCCTGAGGACGCACCTTGTCCCCCCTTGGAGGTGAGCTGTCTGGCGCCTGGGGCCCTGTAGGGATCCAAGAAGTGGGGTGGCAGGCAGGCCAGGCCAAGTTCCTGGGGGTGGGGGTGACTTGGCCCAGGAGGGTGTCAGTCACCGGATGAAGGGCATGTAGGTGTGAGTGCATCATGTGGGTGTGTGTCAGGGTCTGCCCCATCCTGGGTGCTTAGCCTGGCCTACACAATGAGTCCCACTCGGGGCACCCCAAGTCGGGGAGTGGAGGTTTGAGCCAGTTCTCTGCCTTTAGTCCAGGTTGCCTCCCCTGACATGAGATTCGTAAAGAGAACTAATACACATGGTGGTACTGGTAGGGGAGTCTGCTCCAGCCCCATGATGGGGGCAGGTGGAGAATGAATGGCCACAGAAGGGACCTCAGAGGGAGGCGGTGGGGACACCAGGAGCTGGGAGGGCTCCTCCGGGCCTGGGGTTGGGGGAGCCTGGTGGTGATGGGTCCTGCAGGACTGTGGGTACAGCCATGTCCCAAGCCCATCTGCCTGGCCTGGAACCCTGCCTGTCGCCTGGGGCCAAGGGACTCCTCCCTTGGGAGCCTCAGTTTCCTCATCTGGAAAACAAGACTAGGTTATTCTGGTTGCCAGAGTACAGGAGAGCTCTCCCAGACTCCCCAAGCACCAGACAGGTGTCCCACAGGTGGGGCGGGCCTCGGGCTCCATCACGGAGGGTGGCAAGACCTGCCACAGACCCAGCAGCAGTGGGCTTCCCAAGCCCAGGGCAGGAGGTGAGGTCCAGGGGGCACGTTACCTGCCCAGGGCCTCTCTCCAGGATGGGCTGAGGCAGCTGGGTTCTAGGGCTGCCCACTCACGCTCCAGGCTGCCTGGTCTTGGGGCTTCCCATCCTAGGGCCTGGCACTAACAGAGGCGGTGCTTGGTGGACACGGGAGGGGCGTGTTGGGTTAGTCTTCGGGTTCTGTCTGGGGAAGGCACAAGTTAGCCTGGCCAGGCCCACGATGAGCCTGGAGCCTTCCTGTGGTGGGGCTGATCCGCTGGGCCCGTCAGACAGTTGTAGAAGGATTGAGAGATTCTTCCAGGGGTTCGGGTGGGAGGGCCATCTGGGGCAAGTGTGAGCAGCCTGGCATGCTTCCCCAGCTGGAGAAGGTCCTGGTGGGCATTTCCAGACTGGAGTTCAAATCTGAACTCTGCTGATCAACCATGGGCAGGTCCCTTTTCTCTCTGAGCCCTAGGGAAGCGGGTCATAGGATAACCCACCCCTTCAGGTGGCTGGCCCCCATCAGGGGGCAGACTCTCAGTTTGCCTGGACCTGGGCTTTCCCAGCACGGGGAACCCTCAGTGCTGAAACATGGAAAGTTCTGTGCACACTGGGTCAAGATGGTCCCCCGCCCCACCTCTACTGTTTTCATAACGACCAAGGTGTCTGGTGACCGGGCAGGGCTCAGGCTGCCCCAGAGCCACCTCTCCTGTGTCTCTGTCCCCTCCTGGGTTATTTTGGGCCTGGTGACCGGTGGATCAGCGTCGCTGTGCTCCGTGCCTGTGGCAAAGGGCAGGGCTTGGCAGGCCCGCTGAAATTCCCTCTGGCCCTGCCCCAGCTCCCTGCTGCCCTCCAGGACACAGTGACCGCTCCCCTGGCCCTCTACCCCAGCCCTTGCATACACTGCAGTATGTGCAGCCGCTGTAGGAGGTACCTGATTCCAGCTGTGCAGACTGGAGGGTCTGCTACAGCCACTCAGCTGGGCCACGTGGTGTGAAAGAAGCCACAGCTGACACACACGTGAATAGGCATGACTGCAGGCCAGTAAAGCCTTATTTATAGATGCTGAAATTTGAATACATGTGATATACGCATGTCACGAAATTTAATTCTTCTCTTAAATTTTTTTCCCCCACAACCATTTAAACATGTGAAGCCATTCTCAGCTTGAAGGATGTGCAAAAACCTACAGTGGGCTGGATTGGACCCAGGGGCCATCCTTTGCTGATCCGAGTACTACATACCCAGTAACTCTAACCCATTACACTGGGCACCTGATTTATTAGCAGGACAGTTATGTGCTGTTAGTGAGTTATGAGTATTAACGCATTTTTAAAATCTTGTTCAGTCGCTAAGTCGTGTCCGACTGCAACTCCATGGACTGCAGCATGCCAAGCCTACCTTCTCCCAGAAGGGAGTCCTTCACCATCTCCAAGAGTTTGCTCAAACTCATGTCCATTGAGTCAATGATGCCATTTTTTAAAATAATATTTTTATGCTATTTTTCTTTTTGGTCATGCGAAGCCCTGTAGCATGTGGGACCCCTGACCAGGGATTAAACCCACTTCACCTGCACTGGAAGTGTGGAGTCCCAATCACTGGACCATCAGGGAAGTCCGACATTAATGCATTTTTTTATTAAAGTCACAAATGTCAAAAATTCCACTGAATAAAAGTCACATTGGGAAATTCCCTGATAGTCCATTTGGTAGGACTCGGCACTCTAACTGCAAGCAACCCAAGATCAGTCCTTAGTTCGGAAAATAAGATCTCATAAGCAGTGTGGCAGAGCCAAAAAAAAAGTTACTTTGGGTGATTTTTTTTCTTATCAAGACCTGGTGAATTAAAAAAAATTATTTATGACATGCAGGATCTTAGTTCCCTGACCAGGAATTGAACCCATGCCCCCTGCAGTGGAAGCACAGAGTCTTCACCACTGGACCACCAGGGAAGCCCCAAGAAGACTTTATTTTTAAATTTGTATTTATGTATATATTTGGCTGTGTATATATTTGGCACGTGGGTTTTATTTCCCTGAGCAGGGATCAAACCCAGACCCCCTGCATTGGGTGCTCAGAGTCTCAGTCACTGGACCACCAGGGAAGTCCTCCAACTCCTTGTATGGACACCGTCATATTGGATTAAGACCCACCTTCATGACTCAGTCACATTCTGTGGTCCTAAGGGTCAGGGCTTCAACATATGAATGAGAGGGTACACAGTTCAGCCCAGAATAGTGTCATTTGCTCTTTGGTTTTGATGATTTGAAGCGAGGAGACACTTAACAGGTTCAAATCCTGCTCAAATGTCCCAGGACTCGGTGTTCTGAGCCACTAGGTAGTCAGTTGCTCGACAGCCAGGGAGGGACAGACACCAGGAACTCCTGACCTTCGACCTGTGAGCTCCTTCACCTTTGCTGCACTGCCCCTAGAAAGACTAAAAGTACGGGGACCAATCATCTCGGTTCTGAGAGATTTCTGGGAAAACAGGGCTTTCTGTGCTAACACTAGGAAAGTCCCCAGTACGTGGGGATGGCTGGTCACCTTCCTAGTGGCTGCACTGGGCCTGAGCTGGAGCCCCTGCCCCAGCTGTGCTGCCTTCCATCTGCTCAGCACTCTCTTCTTTGTGTCTTGCTCTCTGCTGGGTCGTGAGGCTGCAGGGGCAAAAGGCAGTGGTGAGCGCTATGCCGGGTGATTTCTGTTAGCAGGAAGACTGTGTTGAGAAAGGGCAGCATCCAAGCAGGAGGCTTCCGGCTGGGATACAGAAAGTGAGCGATTTCCCAGGAGCCTGGGACCCCAAACATGGGGTGGGGCAGAACTCACAGGACCGATCCACTGTGAACCAGCCCTTTCTGCGGATCTCCACAGACCCGTCTGTGAAATGGGTGTACACGATAAACTGAACCACCAGCCTTCTAGGGATGGCTCGGGAACACGGAGAGTATCCTTAGGAGCCTCCTGGGTCATGAGTAGTATCAGCTCTGATCACGGGGGAGGTGCTTGGGTGCAGTGAGGGTGGGGCTCAGCCAAGAGCCAGGGGCACCCTCAGGCTGGGCTGACCTCCCAGACCCTGCTCTGGGCCGCGCTGCGCCATGTGCTGAAAGCTGGCAGGAAATCTCCCTTTTGAGGAAAATAGGCCCAAAGACCCTCAAGCAGCCACCCAGGGCCACGCTGCCGTGAGTCCACCAGGTGGAGACTGCCACTGCCCGGAGCTCTCAGCGTCACCCCCGGAGGTCACCAGTACACTGAGGAGAAAGGCCGGGAGGGGCCCTCTCGGCACCTCAAACACAACAGGCTGGACCCCAACGACTAAAAAACAGGATCAGGTTTAATAAGTAAGCCGCCGTCGAGGTTACGGCTGGATGCATCGTGGGCCCCAAGCTGCTGGGCCGTGAGCGGGGCGTCCACTCTCATAAGTACAAGACTTCCCCAACGGGAATGGTCATGCAGTGTCCGGCTGCAGTGCCACCCGCTGGCCGCGCTGTGGCCGGAGCTGTGTGTGGGTCCCTGCAGTGGGGGCTGGGCCCCTCCTCTTGGGCCTCGCTAGGAGCGGTTCAGGAGTGAGTTCTGAATGTCTTCCAGGACCTGGTGGAAAAGCTCCTCGCGGGGCTTCATGCCATCCAGGTACACTGCAGTTGGAAAGGCCGTAGTCAGAGGCCCATGGGGCTCAGCCAAGGGAGGGCCGGCTCCCTGGGGCTGCTGCCAACCAGCTCACAGCAGGGCTGGCGGACTGCTGGGTCACGAGGAAGCAGACCCGCAGAGTTAGGCAGCTGGGACAGGCCAGCCTCTGGGCCCCAAAGCAAGAGAGACTTCTGGCGAGACTCGGGGAAGGCCTTCCAGGTTTCCAACCAGGTCCCGGTGGGGAGGGGCTGGCCTCATCTCACTCAGGGACTTACCCACTTCCACACCGTTGGCCTCCATCTCCCGCTTATATTTCTGGTACATAGGCCACACGTGGCCGTCGAAGAGGCCAGGGGGATCAGGGACCGCGTAGCTTCGCGTACTGGGGAGGGAGATGGGCAAGAATGAGCGACACGCAGGTCACCTGAGGGTGGTGCCAGCGCAGAACCTGGGGTGCGGGAACTAGTTCAGGAACGGGGATCCCACGAAGTCAGGGGCCCCATGTTGGGTGCTTCAACATCCAGCATTTTTCCCAGTGGGCCTGGGAGATGCCCACAGCAGGGCAGGGGTGGGTCATGCTATCCGGACCCCAGGCTGTGGGCCTCTGGAACCCAGCACTGGCCACCCAAGTGCCTGCTGCCAAGCAGTCTGCAGCTTCAGGGAGGCCGTGTGTCTGGCGGGCATAACCCATTTCCTGGTCCCCCCTGGGGACGCAGACAGGGCCCCCCAGGCTCACCTTCTCCTCCACTTGCACTCTTCATAGGGGACAGTCAGGAAGTACCTTCGGCTGTACAAGTCCACCAGGGGCCTGGCAGGGGGGAGGACATGGTCAGCACCCGTGGGCCAGAGCACACAACCCCAGAGCCTCCAGGGATGTTCCTGGGTGACAAGGGTCGGGTGGGGCGAGGGGTCTGGGCTGATTAAGTTAGGGATGAGTGGGGGGACCAGCAGTGGCCAGTCTCTTGCTATGCCCACTGCACCCCCTTACTCTGAGGGTGGAGTCATCCCTCTCTCCCAATTCGGGGGCCCAGAGAGGTACAGTGTCTTGCCCAGGGCCACCCAGCAAGGTTGGGGATTCCACCCAGCCTGCTCTGTCTGAGGAAGCTGAGGTCCAAGACGGAAGACTCAGTTCCCCCAAGAGGTGTAGGTTTTTGCCCCAGACCCTTGGGTCTGACTCTGAGGCCTGCCCCCGCCCCCCTACTCCCACTGCCCTGATCCCAAGCCTCCCACACCCCCAGGCCTTAGTGTTCTGTCTGTCGAAATAGAGACTTGGTGACCTAGGAGGGCCCGCATTGCCCGGGGCCCATATCCAGAGATGCTCACTTGTAGCTGTAGAGCAGGAAGCCTTCCAGAATGAGGATGTGGGTGTCTGAGGCATCCAGTCGGACGCTGACCCCGTGGGCGCGGGCGAACTTCCGGGGGCTGCTCACCCAGGCCTGCACGGTGCTCAGCATGGCCTCCATGTCCAGGGACTCCAGCACTGGGGGGTGGGAGACAGGGAGTTGGTGGGGTGGGGGCCGGGGGGCACTGTGGGCAGGGGCGCAGGGCTGCCGCCATCCATTCTTACCGTCCCACTGTTTGAAGCCGTCCTCCCCAACTGCTATTTGGTCTTGGGGCTGAAACAGAGGAGCCCAAGCCGCGGGCTCAGTGCCCGCCTTCCCACCTCACCCCACCCTGGGGGAACAGCGCCCGGAGAGCCCCCTATGAGGGTCCGGGGGCACCTGCTTGCCCCGTCCCCCTGCAGCTGAGAGTCACAGGCTCTGAGGTCCCAGGCAAGGCACTCAGAACCCCCTCCCCAACTTCATGACTACTGGAATCAGGAGTGGGGACCAGTTACATCCATAGTAAAGTTGCCCCTCACCCTCCACAAAGCAACGAGGGTGGGCTCAGAGCCCATTTTGCAGACGGGAAAGTGGAGGTGCAGAGGATAAAGGGCACCGCCCAGGTGACACATCCCCTCTGGGAATTGCAGTTTCCCCGTCTGTGCCCTGAGAACTGCCAGGCACATTGTAGGTGCTCAGTAATTGAGAACGTCGGCCTCAGGGTGCCCCTGAGGGGTCTGCCTGCCCTGAGGCTCCTTCTCAGGGCGCTTCCCTCCCCTGCTCCTGGCCAGGGCAGCCACCTTGAAGAAGTCATCCTGGTGGATCACACAGCAGTTGGGCAGCGCCTTGAGGAGGTTGTTGGTCAGGGTAGTCTTGCCGCCATTGGTCATGCTGTGGGCAGAGCATACTTGTGAGGTTGCCTGGATCCCTTCTGTGGGCCTGTCTGGGTCTGAGGGGCCCCCAGGATCAGACTAAAACCTAAAACACAAGAGGGTATTCATCTAAAGTCAGGGGATGAGATGGTTGGATAGCATCACTGACTCAATGAACTGACTCAGATTGCTCGATGGGTTTGAGCAAACTCCGGAAGACAGTGAAGGACAAGGAAGGCTGGCATGCTGCAGTCCGTGGGGCTGAAAAGAATAGGACACAACTGAGCGGCTGAACAATAGCAACAGAAAGTCAGGGGAGGGGTTCTGAGTGGCCAACCTGGGCCGCCCGGCAGCCTGCTGCCCACTGCCCACTTGGGCCAGGCACAGGCCTGCACTTGCCGGTGGGGAGAAACAGAGAAAAGAGCAGAGGATGTGAAAACAAGCTGACAAGTTAACACGCAGTCTCAGCTGGGGTCATGCAAGCACTGCTTTCTGTGTTTGGACTCATTCAGTGTGACCGCAAACCCATGAGGTGGGGCTGGGAGCTGGTCTTACAGACCAGGAAACTGAGGCCCACGTGTGACCTAGCCTCTGCAGGCCTTTTTAAAAAAGCCAGACTATTAAAGCAAGTGCTAAGTGGAAAACTGCAAACCTGGGAAGAGGCAGTCACCTTAGGACAATGGGTGGGAATTCCCTGGTGGTTAGGACTCTATGCTTTCTCTGCTGAGGGCCTTAGTTCGACCCCTGGGTGGAGAACTAATATCCCACAAGCCATGTGGTGTGGAAAAAAAAAAATCCTCAAAAAACAATGGGCAAAGCAGGGTGACCTGCTCAATCTCATCTGCCCGGGATATCTCTGGTTTTAGTGCCCAAAGTCCCAAATCCTGGGGCTCCTTCAGCCCCAGGAAAAGCAGGATGATGGTCACCCTAAGGACTCTAGACTGGGGCCGTCGAAGGACACAGAAGGGTGACTGTCAGGACTTCCTGGACGTGAGTGTCCCTTTGACCTAGCTGTCCCTGCCCCAGGAATCAGGAGTGGAAAGCTGAGTGTGGAAGGAAGGAGTTGCAGCTTTTAAAAGAGCTGGTGGGAAAGGAGACCTCCATACATGAAGGGGAGCAGGTTAGAGCATGCCTGAGGTTAATTTGAGTTGTTGCTGACAGGCTCGCCATGCCCTCAGGGCCGGCTACAGAAAGGGGGGCCCTTGTCTCATTCTGTTAGGGATTTCAAGAGCGTAATGGAGCACTAAAGCAAATGCAGGGTGGACCCAGGGCAACCTCCCAGATTGGAGCTCCAAGCCAGCCCGGCTTCTGCTAAATGCTTCCCAGGCATAGTCCTAAAAGGCCACAACCCCCAGGAAAGCAAGGTCCCTGCCTGAGGTCAGCAGAAGGAGCTTCTAGAGGCAGGTGCCACCCAGTAGAGTGCCACTCTGAGGCCCCCACCCCACCGGCCCAGGAGCCTCTGGGGTTGGCGTCTCCCCATCCCCACCCCCCAGCGCTTCACGGAAGACCTGCCTAAGCTTTATAAAGTCTTCTATCCCCAGGGAGTCTAGTCCAGTCTGGGTGCGGGGTGGGGAAGGGACTTCCAGTGGGGAATTTCCCAACAGAGGGCAGAAACCCCCTCCCAGCACTCCGACCTTGGGCATCGGGTCCCTGCGACACCAGGCGCCAGGCAGCCCTCCATTCATTCCCCTGGCCTCCTGCCCAGGCCGCCGGCTCGGCCGGCACAGGGGCGCGCCCGGCCGGCCTCTCCCTCCTCCGCGCGCTCCCGGGCCGCTCACCCTCCGATGCCCACGATGTACTTCATCTCGGCGCGGAGGGGCGGCGGGGACCGCGGTTGGCAAGCTGACTCCTGACTCCCGGGTGCCCGGCTGGGCCCGACCCCGCAGTGCGTCCCGGCTTCATTGAGAAAACCCCCCGCCTTTATAGGCTGGGGCAGTCTGGAGGCCGCCCGGAGGGAGGCGGCCCACCGCCTATGGGGAGCGCGGCTGCGCGGTGAAGTGGGCGGGCGGGGTGGGGGTGGGGCGCTGCACCTGTTCCCTCTGGATGGAAATAGCTCCACGCTGTCTTTTGCCTAAATTAGTCACGGGTCGGCCAGGCAGGGGGGTGCGGGTGGATGTCACCCCACTCCCTCTCCCCTCCTCCTACTCATTCCCTCCTCCCCCTCCTGACCAGGCTGCCCAGGGGACAGATAACCGGCCACACACCTTCCCTCCCTAAAAATATCCAGGCCGGTGTGTCCCCTCGCCTGACCCTGACATTAAGGCCGGTTCTGGTGGCTGAAGAAAGGAACTCACACCTCCCCGCTGGGCCCGGTCTCCAGTCACAGCAGCCGGCCAGCCAGTCGCAGGGGCTCCACACAGCAGGGGACTTCCTTTTCTAAGGGGGTTGCTGCCAAGATGGGCTTAAGGTCCAGAGCGGTGAATCCCAAGATAGCTTCGTTCAGGTGACCCTGGCCAAGGGAAAATCTCAGCGTGACACCAGGGGCCTGTTCTATGGGCGCCCACGTGAGGCCTGGCGTCATTGGGTTTAGCCTCTGGCCTCTCAGAAGCTGGCCGGGGTAGGGTTGGGGAGGCATGGGTCTGTGGATCCCTCCTCCACAACACACATACCTTACTGACCAGCTGGGACTGTATCCCAGACCCTGACTCCCCACCAGAGGAGACCTTTTGCTTTCAGGACCCCCTTTCTCACTCTTGAGAATTACTGAGGATCCCAGGGAGCTTTGGTTTAAATGGATTACTGTTGGGTCTTCCCTGGTGGTCCAGTGGTTAAGACTCTGTCCTTCCAGTGAAGGGGGCATGAGTTTGATCCCTGGTCTGGGAGCTAGGATCTCGCAAGCCACTCAAGGTGTGGCCTCAGTAAAGAAATAAATAAATGGATTATTGTCATGGATAGTATTTACCACATTGTAACTTAAAACTGAGAAAGATTAAAGCCTTTTTAACTTTTAAAAATGATAAAACTACATGGTCACATAGATGTAATATACATATGTATTTATAATTTTGTTAATTTGGGGCTGCCTTTGTTGCTTTGCTTGGACTTTCTATAGTTGCCGTGAGCAGCGGGGGCTCCTCTTGGTTATGGTGTGTGGCTTCTCTTGTTTCAGAGCACAGGCTCTAGGCTCGCAGGCATCCGTAGCTGCAGCACGTGGGCTCAGTAGTTGTGGCCTTTGGGCTCTGGAGTGCCTGGACTTCAGTCGTGGCGCACAGGCTTAGTTGCTCCAAGAAATGTGGGATCTTCCCAGACCGGGGAGGAACCTGTGTCCCTTCCACCGGCAGGTGGATTCTTATCCACTGAGTCATCAGGGAAGTCCACAAATATGATATTTTTAATGAAAAATAATGGCTTTTTAAAAATTCAGGGAGGGGGCTAGATAAAATTTAAAACTTTTTTTGTATTGAATGACATTATTAAGAAAGTGAAAAGATAATGCAGGGGATGGGAGAAAATATTTACAAGTCATATATATGGTAAGGGGTTATTAGAATATATAGAGAACTCTTTCAAGTCAGAAACAAAAAGACAAATGACCCAATTTAAAAATGGGCAGACTCTGAACAGACATTTCTTCAAAGAAGATATACTCATGGCCAACAAGCACATGAAAAGATGCTCAGCATCACTGATTATTAGGGAGATGCAAATGGAAACCACAGTGAGGGAATTCCTTGGTGGGGCAGTGGTCTGGACTCTGGGTTTCACTGCCAAGGGTGCAGGTCAACTGCAGATCAGGAGACTAAGATGCTGCAAGCTGCAACCCAAAAAATGAATAAATAACCCACAGTGAGATACCACTCACACCCACTACGATGGCCATAGTCAAAGAGATGGACTATGTGTATGTCAGTGAGGATGGACAGAGATGGCAGTCCTGTGTGATGCTGGTGGGCATGGGAAGTGGGGCAGTCTCTGTGGAAAACAGTTGGCAGTTTTTTGGACCCAATTTCACTTCAAAGTGTCAACCCAAGAGAAATGAAAACACATGTCTCCACAGATGCTTGTCCATGAATGTTTATAGCAACATGACTCATAGGAGCCAAAAGGTGGAAATAACTAAGTGTCTATTAGCAGATGAATGGATATACACACTGATCCATTCTCCCACGGACTATTATTCTGCTACGAGAAGGGGAGAAGCCCTGACACTCGCTACCACGTGGACGGACCCTGAGGACACGATGCTCAGTAAGAGAAGCAGACACAGAAGGACACACAGGGTGTGATTCCACTGATGGGAAACGTCCAGAACTGGCCAATCCACAGAGACACCGTTCGTGGTTACCAGGGCCTGGGAGAGGGCAAATGAGGGGTGATTACTTGTAGGGTGTTCTTCTGAGGTGATGAGAATGTTCTGGAATTAGATAGAGGTGATATTTTCAGAGCACTGTGAATGCACTAAGTGTCAGCTAATGGTATACTTTACAATAACGGTTAGTTGCATATTATGTGACTTTCGCCTCAGTTGACAACAACAAAAAAGCTGAGAACCTTTCCAGCTACAGTCAGAGAGATAGGACACATTGCTACGGCAGGAGGGTCAGAAAGATAACCTGCTGCTGTCTGTGAAGATGGAGGAGGAACCATAAGCCAGGGATGTGGCGGCTCTAGAAGCCAGAAAAGGCAGGAGTCAGTTCTTCCCTGGAGCCTCCTGCGGGACCAGTCCTGCCCCCATCTTGATCTTAGCTCTATGAGACCTGTGTCAGACTCCTCACCTCCAGAACTGTCAGAGAATAAATTTATATTGTCTAAATAAAAAAAATTTTTTTAGGTTAAAGAGTGATATCTCTGTGTGTGTTCAGTTGCCAAGTAGTGTCCGATTATTTGCAACCCCATGAACTTCAGCATGCCAGTCCTCCCTGTCCTTCATTATTTCCCGCAGTTTGCCCAAGTTCATGTTCATTGAGTCACTGATGCCATCCAACCACCTCATCCTCTGTCGCCCCCTTCTCCCCCGTCTTCAATCTTTCCCAACATCAGTGTCTTTTCCAATGAGTCAGCTCTTTACATCAGGTCAGCAAAGTATTGGAGCTTCAGCTTCAGCATCAGTCCTTCCAATGAGTATTCAGGGTTGATTTCCTTTAGGATGGACTGGTTTGATCTCCTTGCAGTTCAAGGGACTCTCAAAAGTCTTCTCCAGCACCAGAGTTCAAATGCATCAATTCTTCGGTGCTCTACCTTCTTTACGGTCCAATTCTCACATCTGTATGTGACTACTGGAAAAACCATCGCTTTGACTGTATGGACATTTATTGGCAAAGTGATGTCTTTGCTTTTTAACACTCTGCCTAGATTTGCCATAGTTTTCTTGCCAAGAAGCAATCGTCTTCTAATTTCATGACAGCAGCCACCATCCACAGTGATTTTAGGGCCCAAATCACTTTAATGTCTGGTTTAGAAGGATTCTCGCATCTGCTTGTGGTTCAGCTGGTTTCCATGGTTGTTTTGGTCGATATACAGGAGAAAGGGCTTCCCAGGTGGCGCTAGTGGGAAAGAATCTATTTGTCAATGCAGGAGCTATAAGAGACCTGGGTTCCGTCCCTGGGTTGGGAAGGTCCCCAGGAGGAGGTCATGGCAACCCACTCCAATATTCTTGCCTGCAGAATCCCATGGACAGAGGAGCCTGGCAGCCTACAGTCCATTGGGTCACAAAGAGTCAGACATGACTGAAGTGACTTAGCATGTACTCACAGGAAGAAAAATCTAGCTTTACACACAGATAAAGGAGGATTTTTAGCCTGTTTTAGGTCATCGTGGGTAGTTTTCTTTGTCCTACACCTGACCAGGATGGAAGGAGGTTTATGAAGGTGGACTGTTCTTTTTCACTCTCTCCTCCATTAAAGGTCATCAGTCTATCTTTGCACTTTGTTTCTTCGCTTGTTTTTGTTAAATGATTTTTTAAATAACTTTATTTATTTATTTTTGGCTGTGCTGGGTTTTCGCTGCTGTGTGGGCTTTTCTCTAATTGTGGCGAGTGGAGGCTACTCTCTGTTGTGGTGCTGAGGCTTCTCATTGCAATGGTTTCTCTTGTTGGGGAGCACGGGCTCTAGAGCACACGGGCTTCAGTAGTTGTGGCTCGTGGACTCTAGAACAGGCTTAATAATTGTGGTGCCCCTTGCTGTGAAAGTATTGAGTCTTGACCACTGGACCACCAAGGAAAGAAAGTGAAAGTGTTAGATGCTCAGTCGTGACTGACTCTTTGCGACCCCGTGGACTGTAGCCCACCAGGCTCCTCTGTCCATGGGATTTTCCAGGCAAGAATACTGGAGTGGGTAGCCATTTCCTTCTCCAGGGGATCTTCCCGACCCAGGAGTGGAACCTAGGTCTTTTGCACTGGCAGGCAGATTCTTTACTGTCTAAGCCACCAGGGAAGTCACTTGGAATGGATCTTTTTTCCATATGATTCTGACCTTGAAGACCCCCTGAGTCTCAGTGATCACCACCCTCACCCACTCTGGCCTACTCTTTAAGAATCCTTGGTTAAGAATTCTGCTTTTGAATCCTGGTTCTGCCACTTGCCACATGGGGGAGCTCAGGCCCCACCTTGGCCTCTCTGTGCCTCAGTGTTCCCATCTGTATAAAGGGAGGCTGCTGGCTCCAACGAAGGGAGGAACAATGTCTATGGCTTTGGGCTCCCACCCCCAGGAGTATGAAGGGAGGATGCCCTGCCCTGCCCATTCTTTACCTGCCCCTCAGCAGCCAAAGTTGCTGTCACAGGGCCTTTGCACATGCCATTGTCTTTTCTGGGAACCACCCCTCCCCTTACCCAATCCTCCTCCCTCGGGCTAACTTTGACTAAGCCATCCTGCATCAGCTCGGACCTCCCCTCTTGCAGGAAGACTTTCTGGATCCCCACTGCCTCTCTCCACATCATGAGTTCCCCCCGGGGCAGGCAGGGCCATGCATGTCTTGTTTTCTGATGTATCCCCAGTGCCTACCAAGGTCAGGTCCACTGATGG